TATATCACAGGATACATTATATTATACAGCTATACACACATATATCACAGGACACATTATATTATACAGCTATACACACATATATCACAGGATACATTATATTATACAGCTATACACACATATATCACAGGACACATTATGTTATACAGCTATACACACATATATCACAGGACACATTATATTATACAGCTATACACACATATATCACAGGATACATTATATCACACAGCTATACACACATATATCACAGGACACATTATATTATACAGCTATACACACATATATCACAGGACACATTACATTATACAGCTATACACACATATATCACAGGATACATTATATTATACAGCTATACACACATATATCACAGGATACATTATATCACACAGCTATACACACATATATCACAGGATACATTATATCACACAGCTATACACACATATATCACAGGACACATTATATTATACAGCTATACACACATATATCACAGGACACATTATATTATACAGCTATACACACATATATCACAGGACACATTATATTATACAGCTATACACACATATATCACATGATACATTATATCACACAGCTATACACACATATATCACAGGACACATTATATCACACAGCTATACACACATATATCACAGGATACATTATATTATACAGCTATGCACACATATATCACAGGACACATTATATCACACAGCTATACACACATATATCACAGGACACATTATATCACAGCTATACACACATATATCACAGGACACATTATATCACACAGCTATACACACATATATCACAGGACACATTATATCACACAGCTATACACACATATATCACAGGACACATTATATCACATAGCTATACACACATATATCACAGGACACATTATATTATACAGCTATACACACATATATCACAGGACACATTATATTATACAGCTATACACACATATATTACAGGACACATTATATCACACAGCTATACACACATATATCACAGGATACATTATATCACACAGCTATACACACATATATCACAGGACACATTATATCACACAGCTATACACACATATATCACAGGATACATTATATCACACAGCTATACACACATATATCACAGGACACATTATATTATACAGCTATACACACATATATCACAGGACACATTATATCACACAGCTATACACACATATATCACAGGATACATTATATCACACAGCTATACACACATATATTACAGGACACATTATATCACACAGCTATACACACATATATCACAGGATACATTATATTATACAGCTATACACACATATATTACAGGACACATTATATCACACAGCTATACACACATATTTCACAGGACACATTATATTATACAGCTATACACACATATGTCACAGGACACATTATATCACACAGCTATACACACATATATCACAGGACACATTATATCACACAGCTATACACACATATATCACAGGACACATTATATCACACAGCTATACACACATATATTACAGGACACATTATATTATACAGCTATACACACATATATCACAGGACACATTATATCACACAGCTATACAAACATATATCACAGGACACATTATATCACACAGCTATACACACATATATCACAGGACACATTATATCACACAGCTATACACACATATATCACAGGATACATTATATTATACAGCTATACACACATATATCACAGGACACAATATATCACACAGCTATACACACATATATCACAGGGCACATTATATTATACAGCTATACACACATATATCACAGGACACAATATATCACACAGCTATACACACATATATCACAGGACACAATATATCACACAGCTATACACACATATATCACATGATACAATATATCACACAGCTATACACACACATCTTTCTTTGGCCTGTCACTTTCTCACCTTCAAGTCCTGGAGAGCTGCGGATTCTGAAGGAATTGCGGATTAGGATCCTGAAGCAGATGGGTGGGCTCTGGATCCTGGCACAGCTGGGGATTCTAGGTGCACTGGCTGTCCTAGAGGGAGCCGGCTGTCCTGAGGGGGAGCTGGGTATTTTTTGGGGTGTAGATCAGGACTTGTTCCAGGAATAAAATATAAACTCTCTGTGTCTGAATTTGCAGAAATATTTGGAATATAATGTTTAACTCTTCCGAATGCCATTCACGCCAGTAATCCTCTCCCAATTCCTTGTTCTTGCCACTCCTCTTTATTACTGAATTCACCTCTCTGTCTAAACCTGTCTCCCCCCTCCTCTCCTCCACACCTCTCTCCTCTATCAGATTCCAGAGTCCTGGGTTAGCAGGAAAGTCACACAGGAATTTCTATATTACTGGAAAACAACAGGACGCAAATACAAGTATGGCACTGAAGCAAAAAAGAGAGAACAGAACCCAGGGAGGAAAAAGAGATCAGAACCCGGGGAAGAAAAAGAGATCAGAACCCGGGGAAGAAAAAGGAAATCAGAACCCGGGGAGGAAAAAAGAGATCAGAACCCGGGGAAGAAAAAGGAGATCAGAACCAGGGGAGGAAAAAGGAGATCAGAACCCAGGGAAGAAAAAAGAGATCAGAACCCGGGGAAGAAAAAAGAGCTCAGAACCCGGGGAGGAAAAAAGAGATCAGAACCCAGGGAGGAAAAAGGAAATCAGAACCAGGGGAGGAAAAAGGAAATCAGAACCAGGGGAGGAAAAAGGAGATCAGAACCCGGGGAGGAAAAAGGAGATCAGAACCCGGGGAAGAAAAAGAGATCAGAACCCGGGGAGGAAAAAAGAGATCAGAAGCCGGGGAAGAAAAAGGAGATCAGAACCAGGGGAGGAAAAAGGAGATCAGAACCCAGGGAGGAAAAAGAGATCAGAACCCGGGGAAGAAAAAGAGATCAGAACCCGGGGAAGAAAAAGGAAATCAGAACCCGGGGAGGAAAAAAGAGATCAGAACCCGGGGAAGAAAAAGGAGATCAGAACCAGGGGAGGAAAAAGGAGATCAGAACCCAGGGAAGAAAAAAGAGATCAGAACCCGGGGAAGAAAAAAGAGATCAGAACCCGGGGAGGAAAAAAGAGATCAGAACCCGGGGAGGAAAAAGAGGACAGAACCTGAACAAAAAAGAAAATGACAGCACCCAGAGGAAAGAATACAAAGAACAGAATTTAGGAAAACAAGAGCCCCATTCACAGGAAGGGAGAACAGCACCCAGGGGAAAGGATCAGCACCTGGAGGTGAACCTGTCATCCAGGGGAGAATCCGACACTGGTGCACTCACAGAAGGGACAATAGTGTAACAAACTTGTTCCCCTCTCTGTTCGGTTGTCTGTACCCCCCTTGTTTGTTTCCCGAAACACCTACCACCCCCCCAGCTTGTTAACTTTAAAGGAGTAATTAGCTCAAGTGCTTTCCCTGGGTGGCGCCATTCGTATAACCGAACACACATGCTCTAGTGAATGGCGGCTCCCGAACGCATGCAACGGTACTTGGTGTGGCTTATGGATCATTATTTAATCTACATTGTATACGTATGGTATATATTATATAATATGGAGTATGTATATTTAATATGGATATGCATTTAGCTGTATGATATATTGAAAGCTCGGCACTCACCTTTAAAGTATAAAGTTAACTTTTTACCCCAGTGCGTCCAGTAATCCAAATAATGAGGGTGCACTCAAGGGGATTTTCGTGAAAACAACTGTTAATTTTATTGCATATAAGCAAAAATGCACAAAGTCCTGATTAACGTTTCGACCCCTACATTGGTCTTTCTCAAGACATTTCTACAAGGTTAACAAAAGCACTGGAAGAGTTAAATGTTTAAATTAGCACAAACAACATGTGCCTGTCAATCAAAATGTATACAAGGCACACTTCACTTAACCCTGAATATAGTCATAGACCGGGCTAATAATTATCTGCTGACCATACAGAACATTACATCATATATCAGGGGACATGTTAAAGAACCTTTTTGGGAAATTTCACAGCATGTGTGGGCCTCTCTTTGGAGGAAGAAATAACTATATAAACTGTAGAAGACAGTTAGAATGTGTCATCCAATCATTCTCCATCATTCCTCCGTCATTCATTCAATCATTCTCCATCATTCCTCCGTCAATCATTCAATCATTCTCCATCATTCATTCAATCATTCTCCATCATTCATTCAATCATTCTCCATCATTCCTCCGTCATTCATTCAATCATTCTCCATCATTCCTCCGTCAATCATTCAATCATTCTCCGTCATTCATTCAATCATTCTCCATCATTCCTCCGTCATTCATTCAATCATTCTCCGTCATTCCTCCATCATTCATTCAATCATTCTCAGTCATTTATTCAATCATTCTCCATCAGTCCTCCATCATTCATTCAATCATTCTCCGTCATTCATTCAATCATTCTCCATCATTCCTCCGTCATTCATTCTATCATTCTCCGTCATTCATCCAATCATTCTCCATCATTCCTCCGTCATTCATTCAATCATTCTCCGTCATTCATTCAATCATTCTCCGTCATTCCTCCATCACTCATTCAATCATTCTCCGTCATTCCTCCGTCATTCATTCAATTATCCTCCGTCATTCATTCAATCATTCTCCATCATTCATTCAATCATTCCCCGTCATTCATTTTCCATCATTCCTCCGTTATTCATTCAATCATTCTCTGTCATTCATTCAAGCATTCTCCGTCATTCATTCAATCATTCTCCGTCATTCATTCAATCATTCTCCGTCATTCATTCAATCATTCTCCGTCATTCATTCAATCATTCTCCGTCATTCCTCCATCATTCATTCAATCATTCTCCGTCATTCATTCAATCATTCTCCATCATTCCTCCGTCATTCATTCTATCATTCTCCGTCATTCATCCAATCATTCTCCATCATTCCTCCGTCATTCATTCAATCATTCTCCGTCATTCATTCAATAATTCTCCATCATTCCTCCATCACTCATTCAATCATTCTCCGTCATTCCTCCGTCATTCATTCTATTATCCTCCGTCATTCATTCAATCATTCTCCATCATTCATTCAATCATTCCCCGTCATTCATTCAATCATTCCCCATGATTCATTCTCCATCATTCCTCCGTTATTCATTCAATCATTCTCTGTCATTCATTCAATCATTCTCCGTTATTCATTCAATCATTCTCCATCTTTCCTCCGTCATTCTTTCAATCATTCTCTGCCATTCCCCCTTCATTCATTCATTTTCCATTATTCATTCAATCATTCTCCATCATTCCTCCATCATTCATTCAATTATTCTCCGTCATTCCTCCGTCATGCATTCAATCATTCTCCGGCATGCATTCAATCATTCCTCCGTCATTTATTCAATCATTCTCCGTCAATCCTCCGTCATTCATTCAATCATTCTCCATCATTCCTCCGTCATTCATTCAATAATTCTCCGTCATTCCTCCGTCATTCATTCAATCATTCTCCGTCATTCATTCAATCATTCTCCATCATTCCTCCATCATTCATTCAATCATTATCCTTCATTCCTCCGTCATTCATTCACTCATTCTCCGTCATTCCTCCGTCATTCATTCAATCATTCTCCATCATTCCTCCATCATTCATTCAATCATTCTCAGTCATTTATTCAATCATTCTCCATCATTCCTCCGTCATTCATTCAATCATTCTCCATCATTCCTCCATCATTCATTCAATCATTCTCCATCATTCATTCAATCATTCTCCATCATTCTCCATCATTCCTCCGTCATTCATTCTATCATTCTCCGTCATTCATTCAATAATTCTCCATCATTCCTCCATCACTCATTCAATCATTCTCCGTCATTCCTCCATCATTCATTCAATTATCCTCCGTCATTCATTCAATCATTCATTCAATCATTCTCCGTCATTCATTCAATCATTCTCCGTCATTCATTCAATCATTCTCCATCTTTCCTCCGTCATTCTTTCAATCATTCTCTGCCATTCCCCCGTCATTCATTCATTTTCCATCATTCATTCAATCATTCTCCATCATTCCTCCATCATTCATTCAATTATTCTACGTCATTCCTCCGTCATTCATTCAATCATTCTTCGCCATTCATTCAATCATCCATCATTCCTCCGTCATGCATTCAATCATTCTCCGTCATGCATTCAATCATTCTCCGTCATTCCTCCATCATTCATTCAATCATTCTCCATCATTCCTCCGTCATTCTTTCAATCATTCTCTGCCATTTCCCCGTCATTCATTCAATCATTCTCCATCATTCCTCCGTCATTCATTCAATCACTCTCCGTCATTCATTCAATCACTCTCCGTCATTCATTCAATCACTCTCCGTCATTCATTCAATCATTCTCCGTCATTCATTCAATCATTCTCCGCCATTCCTCCGCCATTCATTCAATCATTCTCCGCCATTCCTCCGCCATTCATTCAATCATTCTCCGCCATTCCTCCGTCATTCATTCAATCACTCTCCGTCATTCATTCAATCATTCTCCGTCATTCCTCCGTCATTCATTCAATCATTCTCCGTCATTCATTCAATCATCCATCACATATCATGCTGTCTGCACTTCATTTCCGTTGGTAAGATTATTTAATTGTAAATTTCTTTCTCTAATACTTATTCATTCATTAATCTATACACTGCACATTCTGCTGTTAGTCTTTGGTGAGATTATTAACCTGTTTTCCTTTCTATAACATTAATAATACATTTTTTATATTTATATGAGTCATTGTTTCATTTACAAAATATTTTACCAGGAAAGCTACGTTGAGATTTCTCTCGTTTTCAAGTATGTCCTGGGTCCACAAATCATTGCATTGTTACATTAGGGTACAATAAAATACAAAAACAATATTAATACACAATATATACAAAATTTAACATAAAACAGGCAGGAAATATATAATCACCCATAACACGTGCATTCTGTTTTGAGGTATGTAGAGAGATCTCTTAAAGGACTCTAGGCTTGGGGAAGATTTTAAATTGTGCGGGAGGTCGTTCCATAATTGCGGTGCTCTGTAGGAGAAGGAGGATTGGGCTGCTTTCTTTTTGTATTGAGGTAGACTAAATAAAGTGCTGGTACTGGATCGGAGGTTGTGTGAGGTGGGAACAGCCGAGGAGAGCATTCTGCTCAGGTAGGGTGGGAGTTTCCCAGAAAAGCTCTTAAACACAAGGCTGGAAAGATGAAGGGTGCGTCTGTATTCCAGCGACAATATTCATCCAGTGCCTTTTGGGTTTTCAGATACTGGGTTATTTTAATGATAGTCAGGTTATCTACTAGAATCATTTATTTAAAACAGATTTTTAAGATATCTTGCAAAGGAAATATTTATTCTCCTACTGCTGTATAATCACGATAAGCTAGAATGACCAGAGAAAAGATGTTAGTCGGTACATCAAATCATAGCTTAGACATCTATAGTAACCAATATATATATTAAAGGGTCAAAATATATATGGTGGTCCACTATATATAGTGGAAAACCGACACATGGTCGTTGAATGTCTGGAACTCTTTTCAGATACGCGATCCCCAATGAAAACTGTACCAATACCTGTTCCACTCACAAACGAATTAGGAGAGCACTGTTCAGGAGAAAGATACTACCGACTGGGGGGGAGCATTCACTCCCTAAGAGCCAGTGGGAGCATTCATTGGTGTTTGCACAGGAACTCTCAAAAGTTGACTGGCCATTGGCTCTTTTTCTCTGGAACTGTTTTGGTCTACCACCTTGTGGCTGACCAGTCAGAACTTTACCCGAATGGCGATTTTGTTCCACCAAATAGATCGGAGCGCTATTTGGACATCCTGGGCATTCAGATCCAGGCTATTTAGGGTAAAAAGACTTGTGGGGTTCCTGTGTGGTTTGAATGTAGTTTTGGGGTGTATTGTATATTTTATGTATCGCTCCCTGTAACAGAGATAATTGAGTTACCGGTCTTTGACTCAATTATTTCCCAGACACAGGGATGCCTGGGAAGTGCTTGTGTATTATAACGGAGCTCCTTGTACCCCTGCTGGGTACCTCCGCCAAGGACCGCTTCCTAGCTAAAACAGGGGACAAACTGCAGCACTTCTGCCCACAGTCGCCATGGCTTGACTGGGGCCCTGGAGCCGAATGGGGAATTAGCTCTAGTCCTTACAAGGACTTTCCCTGTTGAATCCCCTGCAAGCTGAAACAGCAGACACAGGAGTAAATCTTCTTTCCCTCCAATAACAGGACGACACACCGTTTTGGAGTGTAAGCTGGACTTTTAACACACCGTTTTGGAGTGTAAGCAGGACTTTTAACACACCGTTTTGGAGTGTAAGCTGGACTTTTAATGGAGGCATACTGGCCTTTTATGCAAGTTTCCCAACAAGGACGACACCCAGGTGGACCTTGTTGGGCACAGGGACACAAAGTGAATAAATCAATAAAAACAGAGTCATACAGTGAGACACTACCATACACAAACAATAGAATCCCTCCTCTGTGCCTGGGAGATAATTTAATCAGGTACTGTACTGTACGATATGTAACAGGGTTGATGTTCCAGGAGGGATAAGCCAAATGACAAATGATTTAGGTAAACTAGAAAAATGGTCAGAATTGTGGCAACTGACATTTAATGTGGATAAGTGCAAGATAATGCATCTTGGACGTAAAAACCCAAGGGCAGAGTACAGAATATTTGATAGAGTCCTAACCTCAACATCTGAGGAAAGGGATTTAGGGGTGATTATTTCTGATGACTTAAAGGTAGGCAGACAATGTAATAGAGCAGCAGGAAATGCTAGCAGAATGCTTGGTTGTATAGGGAGAGGTATTAGCAGTAAAAAGAGGGAAGTGCTCATGCCATTATACAGAACACTGGTGAGACCTCACTTTGAGTATTGTACACAGTACTGGAGACCGTATCTTCAGAAGGATATTGATACCTTAGAGAGGGTTCAGAGAAGGGCCACTAAACTGGTTCATGGATTGCGGGATAAATCTTACCAGGAAAGGTTAAAGGATCTTAACATGTATAGCTTGGAGGAAAGACGAGACAGGGGGGATATGATAGAAACATTTAAATATATAAAGGGAATCAACACAGTAAAGGAGGAGACTATATTTAAAAGAAGAAAAGCTACCACAACAAGAGGACATAGTCTTAAATTAGAGGGACAAAGGTTTAAAAATAATATCCTGAAGTATTACTTTACTGAGAGGGTAGTGGATGCATGGAATAGCCTTCCAGCTGAAGTGGTAGAGGTTAACACAGTAAAGGAGTTTAAGCATGCGTGGGATAGGCATAAGGCTATCCTAACTATAAGATAAGTGTGACAAAACCCCTGTTTTATGGATACCAGTGCCCTTTTCGTATGCCATTTTATTCCCTTTTATTTCCTTTACCGAACAAACTGACTAACAGCCGGACCACCCGCAAGTGGAGTGTGCAAACAGTTAACCTCCCAGAAGCTGTGGTTAAACGCAGCTTAATTGACGAACAGCTGGGTGGTTGCCATTCGTATGAACGAACATGTGGCAGCGGTCATCTTAAACTGTCGAACGCCCAGCAAGAACACCGCTGGGACTTCCAAACTTCCTGCACTTTGTTTCTGTTCATACAAACGCAGCTTTGTTCGGTACATTAAAAACTCACAAACTAGACCGACCCTGATAGCTAAAAGCCATGGAACTCATGCTGAACAGATTTATGCCAACCCTCTAACTCCATGGCGGTTCGACTGTGTTCATGAGATCTGAGTGCTTTTCGGATATATTGAGTGATCAGATCCACGCTATCTGGGGATATGTCGAATATGGGGGCTCAGTGATGTGAAATATAAGTTATGTATTTTAATGTGTTTTGTTACAGTTATAACTTGGAAATATTTTCTCTACCTGGAGATAACCCAATTATCTCCAGGATAGAGAGGAGGAATCTCACTGTTTATGGTGGGGTGTGTTTTACATTGTTACTGTTGTAGCGGAGCTGCAAGGTTAAAACCCAATATCTCTGCTGGTACAGATAATAATCCAAGTGAAGCGCTGGAAATGAAGGCAATATCCCAAATCCCCCCAGTAACCAGACGAAACACAGTTCTGGGAGTTAACTGACAATTTTATTCAGAGCTCCAGTATTTATGTGGTTCCCCATGCAAGGGGTTTCCTTAGTCACTTTACAGGGGTATTACAGTAGAGGACTACATGGGGAACTGAACATACAGGGCATTTCTCCCACCATGCACTGCTGTACGAGAGGGATACTCCCACTAGAATATCCTGTTAAGTGGATTATCCCTCCGTACAGCAGAACTGAATTTTTACATAAAAATGCATAACTTTAATATTATACATAGGATTATACCGAATGACCGTTTGGTAGATAGCTGGGGTCTGAGCGCACACTTTGTGAAAGTACCACTCAGATCCCAGCATAAATAACCGAACGCCGCACGAAACATACTTTACTATACATTCTTCTAAAAAGTACCGAATATATAACGGGGAATAAAATACCGAAGGACCGGCGCTCCCGAACGGCCTGGAAGTCCAGTGGTGTTCGCGCCGTCGAGTAGCCGATTTTGGTTCCAGGCACTCGACGACCAAACACCGCTGGGTTAACAAAGGATCCAAGATGGCCGACCGCCGCGTGGTCGGTAGCCGAACGACGGCCACCCGGGAAAGTAATTAGCCGCCGATTGCTACACTGTTGCAATCGGTTAATGGGAGCCACACGACCCTATGTGTGTGGGCTCCAATTCGGTACTTTATTTGTTTCACGAACAGTGAGTAAAGTCACTGTTCGTAAAACTACCATATGAATGCTAGCGGCTTTCGGCTGTTAGCATATGAATGATCTCAATTACAGCAATACCGAATACATACATATACAGAATAAAAACAGCTTTTGTCAGACAACCTTCAGATTTTGAACAGTGCGACCTAAAGTGGCTAGGTTTGCCACAACTGTATGTTGATTGGCTACTGTAAATTGTGTCCCAGTCCTCCACAAGGTCCATGTGGGATTATCCCTTGCTGGAGTACCTGCATAAAAGGCCAAGCTGTGGCCACCATTGAACAGATCGTTTTACCGCTTCATGAAGTCTTGGCTCATGTTTGGGGGATTGGGAGCTATAATTCACTACACCTTCTGCTACACTTTGATTTCGGGAGATTCTGCACGGATATACTCAGCTAGAGTATAAGGGATCCATTACAGTAAGGCCAGTGTCAGGATTACTGTTTGATCCAGCACGTAGAACTGTACAGCACGGATGACAAATAAGTAACGTATTACCGGTCCTTAGAATGGCCGGATTTAACGTACAAAGAATAGTCAAAAATACTAGCCGAGGTCAGGGAACACAGAAAGGGACACAGCGATGAGGAAAGCCAGGAGTCAGGATACCAGAATATAGAGAAGCCAATAAACAAAGCCAAAGTCAAAAACCAGGTAGAAAACTATAAACAGGAACGCGCTCTCAGACAACCACAAGGGAAACCACGACAGGGCACTGAGCAGGCTGAGAACTGGGCCTAAATACCCCTCCTTTAGTTCTGATAGGCTGTAACCGGCCTTTGACCCCAAAGTCAGTTATTTGCATAATTGCTGCTCAGCATTAATCCTTCTGTGGATTAGATTGCTGCTCGGCACAACTTTTCCTGTGTGGACAGTAAATGTCATTAACCACATTTCTATAAGCGGATGAATACGTGACATTACCCCCCACCGGGCGGACAGGACCAGGCTTGAGAGGAAATTTAGCGTGAAAAGCGCGGATCTTACGGCCCGCATGCAGGTCAGGAGCCGAAACCCAAGAACGATCAGCAGGACCGTAACCTTTCCAAACAACCAAGTACAGTAAAGTGCCCCGAGAAAACCTAGAATCCACGATAGAAGATACCTCATACTCTTCCTGACCACCCACCACCACCGGAGGGGGAGGAACACAAGGAACAGTATATCTATTGCAGACAAGAGGTTTGAGTAAGGACACACGAAAAGTGTTGGGAATCCCTAAAGATGCAGGAAGAGCCAGAGAGTAAGACACTGGATTGATCCTACGAAGCACTCTATAGGGACCAAGGAATCTGGGGACAAACTTCATGCTAGGGACCTTAAGCTTGATGTTGCGAGATGACAACCAAACCCGGTCCCCACTTGGTACACCGGGTTGGCACTCCTACGCTTATCAGCAAAATGTTTGAAGCGTTCAGCA